GGGGGGAAATGGGGTGACTGCTCAGGCAGAATCCACACAGAAGGCCCATGGCTAGGAAATTCATTGGAAATTCATGGAGCTGGGCCTACCTAGCTCAATCCGACCAGGACTTCATTTGCCTTAGCCTGGAAAATAATTGCAATTGGCTGTGTATATAGTGAGTTTGCAAGCTCGTATACAAATCCTTTGCAAACTACCAGCCCTCCAAAAGATGTTCAACCTATCTCTTACATTTGGCTCTTAAGATGGCCTCACAATATAGAAGGTGCAGGTCTAAGACTCCCGAGGGTGAGGCCATGGTGAAGAGTGCAAAAGCACCTAGTGGATACAAGTTGCAGAAAGCGGTAAAAAGAATGAAGGAAGCAGACCAAGCAAAGTACACCACTCCACCTCCAAAGAAGGGGAAACCTGCTATGACTCCAACACCTGTTCGAAGGCAGGGAGTCAGTTTTGCAGAAGGCAAGAACACCGTCCATGACATCAAGGCAGAGAATTCATCGCCGGCAGAAAGGGCAAAGGCTTCAAAGGCCAAAGCGGATGACGGCATCTCATCTGAGGAGGCAAGCAAGCTTTTGAATGAGATGAAGAAGAAATCTTCATCGGGAGGCGGCAAGGATGCTATCCCTTCTGATAGTGACTGTTGCTCAGAGAGCTCCACTTCGCAAGCAGAGGGGATGAGTGATGAAGAGGATGATGATGATGAGATGAGCGAGGAAGAGAAAGAGAGCGATCAGAGCGAAGAGGATGATGGTGAAGACTCTGATCAAAGCGAAGAGGATGACGAAGAGGAGGAGGAAGACGAGTCTAGTGCATCAGAGCAAGAAGAAGAAGATGATGATGATGACGGCTCAGAGGATGAAGATGAAGAAGATGCATCATCGCCATCTGAGTCAGAAGAAGAGGAAAAAGAATCAGAGAAGAGCCCGTCAATCTTGAAGAAGTCCAAGGGCACAGAGCCTGAGAAGAAAGAGAAAGGCCACAATAAGGGCAAAGAGACAGAAGAGAAGAAGGGCAAAGAGAAAGAAGAGAAGAAGGGCAAAGAGA